CTCAGTAACCTGGTCTTATAGGTTAGGTGTTTGAAATGGAATAGTGTTCATTTTTGTAAAACTGAATCATTGCCACACCCACTGCCTTACGGACTAGCTTTTGAGCCTAAGGCTCTTCTTGAGGACCTCAGTGGTTCTCCAGTCTAGTTCTAGGCGCTCTGGCGGTTTCTGAGCCCACGCACCACCATGACTCTCTCTTTATACGTCAACCACATCCTTCATCAGCCGCCAAGTAGCTTTGCAAGGGTCACCCTATCTGCCGAATAAAGCACTGCGAATAAGCGGGAAAATTTTACTACTGGTGCCTGCCTTCTTTCATTTTCATCTGTTTCTTCTACTACCCTCTCAATTCACATTACTGGCCTACTATGATTCCCAGCTTAATTGACATTTTACACAATGCTAGTGGAGTTACACCATCTGCAACTACCTTCTCGTACCACCTACTGGACACCTATCAGCAACAGTCCCTCATAAGGCGTTCAACGTTCGTACTCTGAGGCAAATAGGTCAACTGGCTCCCCATGCACGCATATTGGGTATTGACCTGTTTTGTGTATCCCAAACTAGGATCAATTACCCTCATGGGTTTGTTGAATTAACTGCGCTCGGCTTGTCCTCTTGCTATTGTTTGCGGAGACGCTGGTGCTGCAATCATTGGTTAAGCTGGGGTGAGCATCGTTCTCAACTCCGGGGCCTGAGTCATCATTTTTTGTTTGGATTCCCACGAACAGGCATTTGGGTACAGCCTGTTTGTTTGTGGTTTTCGCTTCTGCCCCCACCTACTACAGTTCTACTGCTGCCAAGGACGCCTTCTGCCACGAACTGAGATTGCTACATCGCAGTGCTACCAGTTCAAATATCATAGTTCCTGCAGGGGGTATGAATGCGCAATGGTCATCTGAGCTAGTCAGAAGCTCAACTAGGTTGTAAGTATGGATTTAACTCCAACCAGATGGACAACGGCGAGTGTATTTTACAGCTGTGTGCGGAGCACCGGCTGTTTCATAGTAGCACCACTTAGACATTGGGCGCCGCAGTGCCACTTGGCGTCCACCTATAGCTGGCCAGCGATGGAACTAGATTGATCACGTTAAGTTATAGGTGAAGTGGATTCATACTGGACTGTTGCTCGTTCTGGAGTACTTGCGTCGACTTTAATCATGCTTTGGTACCCTGTCGTTCTCACATGAACCGAAGAGCGTACCAAGTACCTCTTTCGAGTAGCGACTGAGACGATATCTCAGTCATTGGTCAAACAAACCTACCAGGATGCTCTGCGTACCGGACCTTCGCTCCCTCGTCTTTATGACATTGCACTTCAATGAAGTAGGTCCTCGGTTGTAAGACACGATGCGGGAGCATCTGCTTGCAGTATTATCAATCGTCACCAGCGGTCACTAGATATCCGAGAAGTCGGTGAACCTGTTGGAATCTAGAGGAAAACTCCCGGATGGCTTAGAGTACAATGTAACTAGGCGGTATATTCGACTCGAACTAAGCTGGGGCCTGCGTGCTAAGGAAGCCTGATGGACCAGCAGGGCCCAAGAAATGGAAGAGGCTGGAACATTAGGCAACTATCGCCAGCTCTTCGAGCTGATCCGCATCACTTCTCCCAAACACCAGACCTCAGCGAGAAAACCAGAGAGCACGACTGCTCTGGTTCACAACAAGGAACGCCGTAGGGCGCGTTAAGCGGAGCACTTTGGAAAGCAAATCACTTGGCCTTCTGCTTCCGGATTCTTTCCAATTCCGGTGGTGTAGGCTGAGTCATCGTCCATTAGTTTAATGGATCCATCTGAATTTGAGGTCCGGAACGCGACCACATCTCTGAATACTTTTCGATCTGCTGGTCCGGACTCACTTGCGCCCGCATTATTTAAGGATGGTAGTGAGGTCCTTTGAAAAGCACTGACCTTGTTCGAACCGGTCTGGGACGGACCATCCCAGGTAACTGGAGTGAATCGCTTATAGTGGCAATATACAAAAAGGGTAGTCGCACTGACTGTGCTAAATACTGGGGTATTAGAGTCACGGCAGTCGTGACAAAATTACTGACCACAATTCTCGTTCGTCCTCTCGCTGTGGAACGAGAATCTCAGGTTAGGGAAGAGCAGGCAGGTTTCCGTCCAGGAGTGAACTGTATGGACCACATATTCACTGTGCGGCAAATGCGAGGGCAACGCCACACCTACGGCAGACCAATATTAGCTGTGTTCCTCGACTTAACATTTGTGTTCGACTCGATCGATCGGTGCGTTCTGTTTGAGATATCTGCGGTGCAAGCTGTTCACTGTCGCCGTCACTAAGTTTGAGCTCATCTGACTTTATCATACTCATGACGAGATGTGGTTTTGCACAGTACAGTTCTCCATGCTGCAGTGGTAGGACGATTGTCGCTTCTGAGCGTTTGATCCTGTTGGACTTCCCGTGCTTTCGCCTTCCTTAATGACACCGGTTGTCAACTTGCGAAAGTTAAATACGAGTTGCTTTTCGGTGTTTATGATATCAGCTCACCACCCCGAAACCTTAACCCACTATATATCGGTTTTATTATATGAATGTTTCCCGGCCTTAAGGCTTGATATATATATATATATATATATATATATATATATATACCAGAAACGTTCGATTAAAATGAACAAGATTCGCAAATACAACCTTTACTGGCGGGTTTTTAATCTATGGGACCATCTCATTTGGAACTGGCTGAAACCAACCATCATTTAACTATCTCAAAATCTCCAATTCATGTGTAAATCAAAATAAATCCACCCTAACGGTTTCTAAATGTTTTGTTGTACATAGCTACTGTCGGTGGATGTCGTGTCTTTCGGGACCAACCCTGTCTTCTGCAACGTTCATGGCAGTGAGGCGAAGACGCGCTGTTGCAGTTAGCTTGTAAATCACGTCTATCTGACACTGTCACCCATGGCCCTGTGGACTGGCTGTGCAAGCCGCTGGCTGTCATGGGATTGAATCCTGAAGCATCCGATGGATGCGCACCGCTGATGATACCCAATAGGCTGAAACTGCAGTCTGGTACTTTTCCTTGCGGTGGCAGTTATGTGGCAGCGAAACGTCGGTACTGCATGCCGGCGTACTGCTGATGCATTCTTCTTCCTCTACCTCGATTAGACTTGCTCCATGAGACAGCTGGTCGTTACTAGGGAAGCCGAAGTGCACGGTTCTTCTGGCCGCTCTAGGCTCAAAGAGTGGATTCGTCCAGTGTGGAGCGGACTACGGCCCAACCACCGCCTTGTTTTCGTCTGGTACGCATGATTCCCCACATAAGTAAACAGGAATGGTGTAGCTAGTGGAGTGTAGACCTGTTCCATTGATAAAACGTGATTTCCATCTACATGCCTCTCCGACTTATTCCATCGGGTTTACACGGGATATGCGGTGTGTGGATGGAGCTGTGGATAGTGCAGTGCAGGCCATCCATGTGCAGTCGCAGACACCCTCTGGCTGTTCTGTAGAGTCTGCCATTGGAGACAAATCTGGTATCTATTGCCGCCAACGGTATGTACGGTACTGTCGGTACTGCATGTTTCATCCCGTGTTTAACTTTCGTTTTCTGCGTACTCCTTGTTCGTTTGATCGATCTTACGCGTCTTCCTCCTTTGAACACACAGGAATGATATGTACTTCCGTGTTCATTTTCGTATCAACAAATTTTTATGTCGACATTCGATGTACTATGGTAATTCTGCACTCTTCTTCATGCGAATCGCAGTTGTTGCGTTGTTGAACCATCTAACGTTAGGCACAGTTTTTAGCCATGCGTTATCTTCTCAATAGTATATCCTATTTGAGTACATCGCATAAACTAGTTTGCCAGGCTTTCGAACCTGAGCTCCATCAAATACGTCAGAGCCGGTCACTCAGTATGAGGACCACAAACCTACCTCGTAATCTGTAGGTCGCTGGTTTTAGCCCATCTCAGAGATCTGGCTACTGTCGCTGTATCGTAGTAGTAGTAGTAATCTCAACAGTCTATCAACTAGACACAGAGACAACATAAAACCATGGAGATCAGCGGATAAGCAAAAGTCATCGCGTCATAATCATCGTGGCATGCTAGTTGAAGGTGGGCAACACACTTCAACTAATATGCCGTAGGAAGAATGGAACATTTTGCCAAAAAGTAGAACGGAACATTTTTAGTTTGTTTTTCACACGCCGATTTTTCACTTTTTGTCATTTTCAATGTTTGTAGTATTAAACATCTGTATCAATACACTACTGCACACAATTCTTCCACTGATTCCGGTTGCGGGCCATGTCTTCAAGAGTGCTAAGCCATTGGCACTCCTTATCTTTTGGTCCCCATCCTGGAAGACGTACGGATCCAACAGCGGCTAGACACGACGTCAGCGATTTCATGTGCTGCCGCCAAGTGGAAGGCTGACCACCACGCGGTCACTTCCAGCCAGGTCCTTGACGAGCGAATAGAGCGCGACGCGATAGACGCTCAGATGCCATGCGTAGGACGTGACCGAGCCATCTTAACTGGCGCAACAAAACCAGTTTGTTGAAGGGAATACTCGCATTCCCCAAGATGCGACCTCGAACGTCATTACTATTAACTCGATGTTGCCACCAAACACGAGCGATCCTCCTTAAGCAATCGTTATCGAAGGCAGAAAGACGACGCTTGTCTTCCACACGAATCGGCCAGGACTCGCACCCATACAACAGTACTGAGCGAACTGATACGCTGTAAACGCGGGTGTATCCTTAGCGTACACTCGACTGGTGGTGGTTGTGCATCCGCGAAGCATCTGTACTGCGTACCGACGTACTATTGACCCCCTTCAACCTTGGATACATCAGGTCTGTCGCCTAATTTACACAACTTGTCTTACTAGTGGTATGAAAATGCTCATTGAAGCGTTTTCTGGTTTCAGTCGATTTGGAACCATTTTAGATCTGTCGTCGTATTTTCTTTAGTTCTTTTACCTTTGTTAACGAAACTGTGTTTACTATCACAGGAGATCGACCCCACAGATGTGACCACTGTGGCAGATGCTTCTTTCAGAAGAGCACTCTGAACAAACACATTAACACAGTACACATGAGTGAGTACTTCCTTTTAGTGTTACTTGTTTTAGAATCTTCCAAATGTGTTTACATTACTTCTGCCGAATATCACCAATGTACTGTTGGACTGCGGCTCTATTTCACATGGTGCTTTACGTTGTATGTGACGTTGTTTGTGGTCATGACTACACCCAATTTATTTGCGTGCCCATTCGGGTTAGTTACTTCAGAATGCCAAACTAATCACTGAGTGCTTCTGTGCGCTATTCTCTAATGATGTCCCCTTACCTGGTGATGAATCGTTTACAACCCGACTGCCAAGTCCGGCGTGCTCATGCACATGTGAGCACTCAATCTGGGCTACCAGTCTTTCGGGTAATTTTGTGCCATGTTCTTACTTTACTATCTTGTAACACCATTCGTGGTTGGTATCAGGAAGCACGGATCTCATAGGATTTGCGAGCATCTCGTCGTGATTTTACGAAGGCGAGATGTGGTTTTCAAACAGCTCTGTTATATTATACCTACTAGAATGGAGCCATACATCTTCCAAGAATGATTCGAAAATCGTCTACTCATTGCCCAACATTAACTTATCGCTTTTACCGTTTGAACAACTGAGAGATCAGTCTGTTACTCGATTTGAAGATCACTGCACATTATCAATGCTATCCATATGTTAAGGTCTGCTAAGCGTCTGATTCACTACACTAATTTCTGATCGTGATCACTTTTAAAGACTTCATATTATCGTGTTATTCACTGTCCACCTCGTGATTTAATCAAACTAGTTACCTTATTCATAACTGAACATACGCGATTGGAACAGTTGAATCCTTAGAACACCATAAGTTAGTGGCTAACCCGCTCATTTCATCCGGAGGCATTCTGTCATCCTTGGCATATGTGAACCGACCGCGGTGTTGCCATGTAAGAACATTTCACTGCCACATCTAATGGTGCACGGGACGGTCCCAAATGGTCCGTGGTTATGCCAGTTTGCTATAAGTATGCACTCCCATGATACACTGGTTCACTCGACTAGAGAAAGCTTTTGTGTCAAATGTGAAACATTGTACACAAACGATACCAACTGGTAGTATACAAACCCTTCTGAAATCAAGATCCTGGCGCTTTACCCTGTGTATGAAACTGACATCAAGCCGTCATTGCTCTTAGATTGCTCACACAATCACATTGTGTGATAACTGGAAATTGGCAACCACCTCTTCACATTGCAGTTTTACAGTCATCAATATAGCCATTGTGTGCTATGACGTAAGCACATTGTAACAGATTATCCAAAATTCTCCGCCTATTTTCCCTACGTGCCTGGCCATCAATTATTCGTTTTTTGTCTTCCAATCCAGAATTACGCCCCCATTCGTGTGACCGTTGTGGTAAATCATTTCCTTCAAAGTACTCTTTGCAAAGGCACATCAGTTCTGTTCATTTAGGTGAGTGTCTAACTGTACTCTCTGTTTGTGTTTGCCACTGTCAATGGTTTCACTTGTCTTCAGTCGCATAAACGTTACGTCGTTTTTGCGTTGCATTCTGATGTTATTGGGCTGTTAGTCTATTTTCATTATGTCCGCTTGTATACACTGAAATCTACGTGCCCGGTGCATCGTTTGATTCCCAAGCGTTGGCGTCTGGCGGGACGTCCTTTTCTGACACACACAGATATATATATATATATATATATATATATATATATATATATATGCTATGGTGACCGGCCGAAAGTATCCCCGACGTTTTCTCCTATGACCAACGTACCTATGCGTGAACTTGTCCAAATCGACCACTTTTTGCCGATCCCTTGAATAGTTGCCTTTAGGCAGGTTTGACTGGATATGGTTGGCGGCATCTGGTTCCGGATTTGCCTTCCACTGTGACGTCCATGGGGACAGCCACATGACGCCTGCGCCTACTGAGGGACCATGAGTGTCTTGCGCTACACCAACCACAGTTCCACCAAACACACATATCCAATGTAAACCCGAAAGAATAGAACCGGCTGGCATGTGGATGGGAGTCAGTCTTAATGAAGGGAGTCAGCACACAGACAACCACAAGCACGCTATATCTAGGGAATCAAGAGCACACAAGGCGGTGACTGGACCGTATTCCGCTCCACACTGGGTGCATGGAACCACTCTTCGAGCCTAGCACGGCCACAAGGACCGTGCACCCTCTCCCCTCCAGCAACGACCAACTGTCTCCTGGAGCCAGTATGGACGAGGTAGTGGGTAATAGACAGGTAGGCACCTTGTCAACCTGCACCACAAGCGCAGCCACACCGGGGATATCAAACAACAGCCAATCACTTGAAATAATTTACATCGAATAAGTCATTCGGAAATGCTGACATAACTTCGCTGAATGCGCATGTGTAATAAATTGGTTACAAACAAATCCGCGAAAAGTGCTAGATATCAAGAAATATATATTAAGAAATGCCACAAACGGGAACATGTTAGCGAACTTAACCACAATTACTTGTGGTAACGTGTGCTACTTCAGGTAAACGTTAAGATGAGGTAAAAAGAGATATGCATTGAGGCACGATAGCAAACCCACCACCTGAACTAAAGAAACCCAGCACGCAAGCACGCGGTTAATAAGTGGAATGCAGCGTACATACCAACGCTGCGCCGGTTCTGCTTACCTACCTAGCAAGACACATTCCTCGTTTCGATGCCGGTGCCGAGTGGCCTCGCCCGTGGCTCACTGGGCCTGCCTGATTCAGGCACTCGCGACCGCATCTGCTATAGCATCATGCGCTGGACGCCGATGGTATACAACCAATCGGCGACTGTCGCTTCCACACTTGCCGCTTCTTCTCTGCATGCACGAGGGCTTTCTGCACCTCGGTAACGGCCTTCGTGATCAGATCGCGCCACGCACGCCGGTCAACTTCTTTCGATTTCCACGACCTGCGATCAAGATCAGAACGTGAGAGGCTGTCTTTGACCATGTCCTGATAACGAAGCTTCGGTTTCTCCATATGTCGTTTCCCCACACTCAGCTGACTATATAACAGCTGTTTCGGCATCCGCATCGAACCCATGCGCCATACATGACCGAGCCAACTCAAGTGTCTAAGCAAAAGTATGCATTTCACTGCATACATTCCACTTCAGCTCAACACTTCCGTGATTGCAACTCTGTCGCATCAACCGATGCGCAGAATCCGTCGCAGCACTGTTGATGAAACTGCTCCAGATATTTGACTTCTAGTCGGCACTTAGTCCACTTTTCGCTGCCGTATAGAAGAACGGACAGCAGTATGGATTTGTAGACCATCAGTTTCGTGCCGACGGTAAGCTGGTGGTTGTTCCACGCTCGGTACCCTATGTTCCCGAATGCCGTTGCTGCCTTCGATACTCGGATACGTAGCTCACTGTGTAGTTGCTGCTCAGTCGAATCCACACTCCCGAGATGGCATAAACAGGAGTAGGTTTCCAACACTTCTTCACCAATGCTGATTTGCGGCGGCATTGCAGATTGCACCTCCGGTGAAGGCTGAAAGAGACAAACAGTTTTACTTGTGTTGATGGTAAGTCAACATTTGGCCGCTGTCGAAGTCAGGGCACTAGTCATGTGCTGCAGCTCATCTGCGCTGTGTGCAAACAACGCACAGTCGTCAGCAAACAGCAACCTACGGATAGTTGTCTCACAGATTAGGGTTCTCGCACCGAAACGACGGATGTTCAGCAACCCACCATCAATACGGTGCTCCACACGAACACCGTAAGCACAAGCGGCATCAAAAGCACAAGACATCATTGCATGAAGACAAATATTAAACAGGGTAGGAGCTAAGACACAGTCTTGCTTCACATCAGAGACAACTGCAAAGTCATCCGAGGTCTGTCCACTCAGCTGCACCCTCGCCCGCATACCACTGTGCAGCCATTCAGTTAAACTTACAAACTTACGCGGGCAATCAAACTTACCCAACACCAGCCACAATGCCTCGCGGTTCACCATATCAAATGCGTTGGTGAAATCAACAAAAAGCGAGTACAACGGCTGGTGTCGTTCTCTACACTTTTTCTGCAACTGACAAACCACAAACACCATATCTAGGGTGATGCGACCCGAACGGAATCCACACTGCTCTTCCGCCACCTTCGATTCCACAACCTGACTGACGAGGCGGTTGAGCAGGATTCGGGCAATCACCTTGCCGACACAACCCAGCAAGTTGATGTCGCGATACTTCGTGCATTGCTTGCTCCCTATGCCCTTGTGCAGTGGTAGCACAAGGGCATTCTTCAGCACAAGCTCAGCGTCTTTGGTGACTCCAAATTCGGTCCAAACGCACCTTCAAGGAGTCAAAGAATTCCTTGTGTTGGCGGTGTTCCGCATAACATTCCATCTGCTTCGCCTTCTCCGTCCACCATGCATTTTTAATGCGACGTTGCCCTCGTATCAGTTGTCTTTGAAGTTTGCGAAACTAACTCTTCTTCCCCAAGTCACTGGGGTATGCGACATGTGCAGCAAATGCTGTATTCTTCTCGGACACCAATGCGCCGGTCGTCGCATTGTCGTCATACAACCAATCGCGCTGCTTACAGTTTGCATACCCGATGGTCTCCTCGGCAGCAGCTGCCACCTGGTCGAGAATGTGGTGTCACCGGTCGCCCACTGTGGCTATGCATTCCACATCACACCGGCGTGCAACCATCGCCTTCTTCAGCTCAGTACGCTTCTCCGAGGAAGAGCATGTTGAATTTACGCTGATTAACGGCGGGAGTGCAATACACAGTTTTACGAAAATTTGTCTACGGTTTGGTCCGCACCAATTGGTGATCAGTGCCACACACTGCTCCACGCTCTACACGTGTGTCATGCGCACCTCACGCATATCACGCTGTCGTACGATGACATAGTCGAGCAGGTGGGCGTGACCACTTCGCGCGATCGTCCAAGTTGCTATATCACTCGCACTCAGTGCAAACCGAGTGTTCGTGCTCGTCAGATCGTGAGTTGCACACAGTGACAGCAGCCTGTCACCGATGGCATTCGCTGAACGAATGACATGCGGATCGATAACATCTGTTCACACCGATGTAACACGCTTAACGCTCGCGTTTAACTCATTCATCAGAAGTAATCGGTCGCACATCGGCACAGACCGTATCACGCAGGATTGCTGAGTGTAGTATTGATCACGCGTGTCATCAGGTTAACACATGATCGGACCGTACGTGCTTATGAAAGGGGCAGACTTACCTGTTCCGAACAGTCATCAGTCGCGCGCTGATGCTTGTTGGTTCACCCACCAGCTGGCCATGGAGGCGATCGGATATTGCAAATCCGACCCGTGCTCATGTGCTGAAGTGGCGTTTCCCACCCGGTAGAACGTGTTGCGGTCACCCGCTTCATGCAACTTGCCTTGCTTTTAGCGAGCTGGGTCTCACTGAGCGTCGCAATATCGATGTTGTAGCGCGCCAGTTCCATGGCTACTATTGCAGTGCGTCGCTCAGAACACTCACTCCGAGTTGCTGTCCAGTATTGTGCGCACGTTCTGGCACCCTCTCGGTTTCATAAATATTCTGACATCGTACTGACTCTTTGTTGCCGCACAGGACCATCATACGTAGATCGGGTACGTGGCGTTGTCGGTTAAACCTTTGTGTATTCGAACTGGTGACCTCTGCATTATAATGCAGGCTTGGAATTCCTTCGACTACTGGCCACTAGGACGGTGTCTAATAGGAATGGCTCTCATAAAACAGATCTTGATTTGTTAATATACCTTCGAGATTTCGTGATTTGTAATCATTTTTTGCCACCTACGAATTATTATGTTCACCCATTGATCTGGAATCCACGTTGCTTCAACCCAACAAGTGAAGTGTTCGGTCGTCAACAATGTGTATTAGTTACCCCTCTGGCAACAGTCCCATCATGTCAATCCACCCTAGTTGTCAAAGTTCAAGTATGCTCATATGCAGCGCTGGTTACTGGGCTTCTTGACAATCCGTTTTCAAGAGTTAACATTGCTGACGCGAAAGCACATAGCTCGACGTTCTTATTAATGTCTGGCTGGTAGGCGGGTTGTCTCAGCAGATCGTTGGTCCTGGTTCAACTAACGCGTGTCATCTCATGAAATTTGATCATCAGCTTCCGCTGTAGTTTTTTTTGGAATCACTGTTACCGTAATCACACTTCCTCCTTGCGTCCACATCCGGATTCCGGCCTCATTTATTTGCAGTATTTCCAAATTTCTCACAAATGATCCTGGCTGTTGGTTTCGGTTATTCCTTACTACCGATTGATGCAATATTCATGCTGTGATCACTTTGAGCAAGAGCTTGGCATTACGTTGTTGGGCTACCAGCTGTCGCAGATTATGCTCCATCAATATGCCATTAATATCAGAAACAACTCTCGGCAGATCACTCTTGTTTATTGTGCGTGGTAAAAGTCTGTCTTTTGGTTCTCTTTCCCCAGTAGTCGGTCTGTTGTGAAATCATAAGTTATTCCGGCTGGCAGATCTGGTGCTAGTGAAACTATCGTGACGAGAGTGGACAGCCTATCCACAACTTGTCAAAACGTTTGGAGCTTTGGGCCGAGGACTTTGAAAGGCAATTTAATCGGTCGGAATGGTTAGATTTCTCGCCGGCCACTGATCGCCCCGCTCCGTGGGCTGCCCTTTGGATCCACCCTCTCGCTCAGAAGTCGAACGTGAGATCGGACTGTTGAAGTTAAATAAAGCCGCGGAACCAGATGATCTACCTCCAGGCCTCTTCAAATTCGGGGGACCTGCTCTTGTGGATGATTTATACGAGTTACTAGTGAAACTGTGGGAGAAGGAAACTGTCCCAACCGACTGGCGCCGCACGGTCATAGTCCCAATTTTCAAGGGAGGCTCACGATCGGAATACGGCAACCATAGAGGAATCAGTCTGATCTCCATCGCCTCCAAATTACTTGCCTATGTTATTCTTCACAGACTGACTACCACTTGTGAAAGCCATATTTGTGAAGAACAAGCCGGGTTTCGTCGAGGTTGTGGCTGCATTGACCACATCTTCACTTTGCGTCAGTTGTTGGAGCACCGTCACACCTATTGGCGGCCCACCGTTGAGTGTTTCTCGATATCAAAGCTGCATTCGATTCGGTGGTTGGGCGTGCACCTTGGGACTGTCTACTCAGGTAACGTGTACCTGCGAAATATGTGAATATCATCCGAGCATTATATGCTCGTAGCTCGGGCAGAGTGAGGGCTTACGGCAAGTTGTCGTCGTCCTTTAATATCTCCAGCGGCGTGAAACAAGGATGCCTGCTGTCACCTTTCCTCTTTAAATTCGCTATTGACGAAATCATGGAAATCGCGTTCACAGGACATGACTTAGAAGGTGTGGATCTGCTTCCAGGAGAACGACTTCTTGACTTGGAGTATGCTGATGATATTGCCCTAACCTGTGACAGCTCCCAGACGTGTCAACCTGCACTGGACACATTAGGGCTGGCTGTCCGTCACTTCGGGCTTTGCTTTGCATCTTCGAAGTGCAAAGCGTTCCTCCAAGATTGGTCTGGACCGCCTCCTTCGCTGACCGTTGGTGGGGATCAGCTAGAAGTCGTTCAAAAATTCAACTACCTGGGAAGTTGTATCAGCGGTCTTGGGATTGAACATGAGATCACGAACCGTATAGCAAAAGCTCGGGGTGCTTTTGCTAACCTTCGCCACTTATGGTGCCGGCGCGACGTCACTCTTGCCCTGAAAGGTAGAGTGTACAATGCAGCGGTACGTTCGACCCTACTGTACGGTTGTGAAACCTGGCCCATTAGATCAGCGGACCTAAAGAGGCTAGTTACGTTCGACCACCGGTGTTTTCGCAATTTAGCTCATATTTGATGGGAACCCCGCGTGAGCAACGAGCGTGTTCGACGCCTTGTTTACGGCATAGGAAAAAGAAATGAACGGCTCCGCGCCGTTATTTCACACACGAGGCTCCGATGGCTCGGCCACGTGTTACGCATGCCAGCCCACCGACTCCTGCGACATGCGTTATTTGCGCCTCGTAGGTGTGGATGGAAGAAGAGGTGGGGTGGTCAAGCGATGACTTGGTCGATAGGAATGATTGCCCTCACTTCGAAGCTGGCCTCGGTTGGAGCGTCTCGGCTCCCTGGTTGGGGTCCGAAAGACGATGAATATGTTTGGCTGGATACAGTTTATGATATGGCTGGAATCCGACCTTAGTGTCTGTCGTTCGTGCTGTGAGTTTCTTTGTCCCACCCCATCCCTCTTAGGTTCCCCCATCCAACCACGATCTCATTACTTAACATGTTATAATTTTGCATAGGAAATTACTTTTTTTGCTGCATAGTATCCGGCAGGTAGTTTACCGGAACGATCTCCATCCGTTACCTGTAGCTCAGCTGGCTTGCACCTGTATCATTTTTTTTATTCTTTTCTTTTAGGTATTGTGGCACAGTAGCTGAGGTGTTTCCCACCTCTAGCTAGCGTGTATAGTGTGTGTGTGTGTGTGTGTGTGTGATCTACCGCGCGGTGTCCCACAGGAAGCGAAAAGGAAACAACTCTTTTTAGTGGCGAAAACAGCGCCAACGACAAGGTATTGCGCATTGCTCGGAAAATGAGTCACTCAAAGAAATCGATTTCCACATTACAAGGAACACAACCTTGTCAGATAGCTTGATTTCGTTCATTTCCTCATTAGCACTGTACTGATAGACCGGTTTTTTCAGCGAAGAGCACTTTCATCAACCAATGGGCCAGTTTACGCTGAGGCACCATCACCATTGAGAGAATCGGCTTGGATGCCACTCCGCTCTTGTGTATCTACGGTGGTCCACACAACTACGGAATGGTGCTACCACTCGGCCTCAAATTGTTAAAAGTGTCACTGTCTGTCACGCGATGGAGAAGAATCATTTCAGAATTATGTGCGTATTTCGATTTCCGCTGTCCCCTATTTCGGGGTTGTTTCAATTTACTCGTATCGTTGAGTATGGCGCACGTTTTCTGATTATATTCGGTTTTGTTCAGGATCACCACTCCAGTTTCAATACGACCGCCTTCTTAATTCGTAATTCACTTAAGGCCTGAAGGTGTCGGCCTAATTAGAACAGTTTTAACTTCATGAGCGGTATCACTTAGCTTATCTCTGATTCAATTAAGTTTACCCGAATTGGTTGATTAAAGCTCATTAAACTGGTCAAAATAGCTCTACTATAATCAGTCTGTTGAACTTTCAAGGTGGGACTTTGTATTCTAGTTCAAACGACAAAGCCTCTAACTGCAACGTGTTAAGTTGTACGTTCGGTAAATTTACGACGTACTTTCTGATATCACGAGCAAGTAGAGTTTCTCCTGGTTGTTTGCCATCAAATTTGCTCACTGCCCTTTTCAAATTGTTGAATGAATGCATTCATTTTTTTTCAATCCAGCACAGCGCCCCTATGCATGTGATCAGTGTGGCAAATCATTTTTTGAGAATGCCATGCTGCGAAGACACGTCATACTTGTTCATTCGAGTGAGTTTAATTGACGGTGTCAGTTCAATTTTGCCACTTCCTTTATGTCATCGTTGATGATGTCACGTAGCTTCGGTTTGATCAGTCATACTGTTTGCGGTAGATCCCTGTTTTATCGTTCTCACAATCTAGTCATGTAATTCTGCAAAATCCGTTTTTCAAATCGGCCGCTACATGTAGCATGGTCGTTGAGTTTACACACGGTCCCAGTGCCTGGACTGAAGAAGGTTCACTTTTGTTTATTTAACTATCCAATTATGATTGCCCCACGTCACAAATCTGCCACTCCAAACGAGCCAACAGCGAGCCCCTTAACGCTGTGACACGCGCCTCCCGCAGAATTCGATAGTGCATTGGTGAAAACACCTGCCTGCTATTTCTACTCTTGCGGTTCGAGTTCGATTTCCGACGTTTATCCATCTTGAATTGACTTACATTCTCGTACAGCACAATCCGTCACTGATTCGTTGATAGGAATCTGAGCGAACAGTTTCACCGTATGATTGCGCATCTTGTAATCGGCTGAATTTGACTTCCTCACTAGTTACCGGTCACATTCCCCTCCTGATTTGTCTGATTTCGTGGGCAGCCACAAAGCGTCTTTATGTGCACAAGAATCATAAGTGGCTTTCACTTTTTCACCCACGGTTCTATCTACCCTTTGCCAAATTGGCGCAAATTTGTTGCATATTGAAAAGCTTTCTGCGAATGAGAATCACGGTTGATACGTAGTCAGCCCGCGCTCCTTCACCCCCCACAAACTTTTTGATTCGAGCATGCTGATATGCCTAGGGCGGTGACCTGACCGCATTACACACTTAGCCTCTGAGCTGAATATCGTCCCGAAGTTTGTGTCCATTTTCACTGGTTTTAGGGAGCCGAACTTACAGCGCATAGATTGTTTGCGCCAGCGCTTTGATCTTCGACAATGGGTGGTGGTAAAATTTCCATTTCACGTTTACTCACATCTGATTCCGCGCCTTCTGGCTGGGAATCAAGGCGCTTTAGAATGCAGATGACTCGAAACGTCTAATGATACGTCATCCAATCGAACTCACTGGGTGATCCGTGAATTCTTCTGCTTGGTGATTCAGTCCTTACCAAACGTTGTGTGAACAACTAAAGAATATTTGGTTTTATATTTCATACAGCGTTCCTCTCATCAAAATTTATATTTACGGCATCCTTACTCGGTAATATGCATGAAGCATGTGACAGCACTTCCGTTTACCTCGGATGCAGTGAATGTGCCTCACCTGTACCGCATTTTCTGTTGTACTGGGTCGGGCTTCGAAAGGAAGATGAGGGTATCATCCATTAGATGTGCAGAATTTCATTCATTTTGCTTATTCCTCATGTCTTCAACATTGACTCGGAATAGCAGCGTGTTCGATGCACACGGCTACGCGCAATGCGGCAATGTCTGGCGTATGAATGCCCTCAATCCCTCGGCTCAGATCACGCTCTGGTCTGTGCGGACATCTGCATTTGTTTTGGAAATTCTTCGAGATCCGAGCACCATACTCCTTATACCAACAGGCTAGCCAACTCTGCTTTTAAACTGGCATAAGATGCGTCCGCTGTCACTCCACCTCAGAGTGTCGAACATCACTTGAGTTTTTGTATAAGGCGTTGTTTTCTTCCTGTCAATCATTCTGTAAGATCACTGGTCCCTCTAAGATGTCGTATCTCCGCGCGCTCACTGGAATTGTTCGACCGTCGCCAGCTGATTCAAACAACGGTGAACTCCACCGCAACCGCAGAAAGCATGCGGGACGATCGCGAAAAGTGGTGGTTTCAGTGCGTTTCAGAGACGGAGACTGCAACTCCTTCAAGCTTTCCTACTTCTAATAGGGCACATGCCGTTTGCGCCAACGAATCAGTCCAATATCCCTCGCCACATCATTATACAGATTAGCTGCATGTGGAAAACAGTTATTGTGCCGCAATACAGGAGAAAAGAAAAAATACACGAAACGGAGGCATACCGGCTGAGTCACCGTTGACGAATGGACGTCCTTTCGGAGAGCTAACAGCCGGCTATTATATCGCAAAAAGATATTATACCTACTAAATGAGCTCGTGGTTGGAAGGGGATGCTGAACGGGTGGGAGAGGGACAAAGAAACTCACAACGCAAACGCGATTTAGGTCGTCCCCTAACCATGTCAACAAGTGTATCCAGCCAAACGTGTTCCTCATCCTTCAGTACCAAACAGGGAACTGAGAGGCTCCAACCGAGGCCAACTTCGATGTAAGGGCTTTCATTCCTCTTGATCAAGTCATCGCTCGCCCCCTTCCATTCGCACCCTAGGCGCGCAAACATCGCGGGAGTCGGTGGGTTGGTATGCGTAACACGTGGCTCAGCCATCTGAGCCTGGTGCTTGAGATAACGGTGCTAAGCGGTTCGCTTCTTCTTCCTGCACCATAAACAACGCGTCGCACTCGCTCGTTGCTCACGCGGTGTTCCCACCAGTTATAAGCCAAACTACGAAGGCACCGGTGGCTGAGTAGTATGCGCGTCTGGTTTGCAACCATAAGGTCACCAGTACGAATCCGCGTACTGGCGGGCGTCCTCGTGGTATACTCTGCCCAAGCGCGATTGGTAGTGGTCGCATGGCAGCGAAGCGCCGTTACGGCGCGCAGCTGGCGAGTATTTATTTTATTATAGTCTCTTTATGTCGGCTTGTCTAATGAGCCGGATTTTACAAGTGTACAATAGGGTCGAATGTACGTCTGCATTGTACACTCTATCCTTCAAGGAGAGTGTGGTGTCGCGCCGGCGCTATAGGTGGCGAATGTTAGCAAAGCACCTCCTACTTTTTTTATATGGCTCGTGACTTCGTCTTCAATTCCAACAGCGCTGATACAACTACTCAGGTACTTGAACTTCTGAACGACTTCTAGCTGTTCCCCGCCAAGGGCCAGCGCAGGAGGCGGTCCTTGCTAATCTTGGAAGATAGTTTTGCACTCCGAGGGTGCAAAAAATGGCCGGACACGGTTGGCAGCCAGTGCTATTCTATCCAATGCCGCTTGGCACGTTTGTGAGCTGTCACAGGTGAAGGCGATATCGTCAGCATACTCCAAGCCAAGAATTCGTTCATCTGTGAGCATGTCCACATCTTCTAAGTCGTGTCCTGTGAACGCGATCTCCATGACTTAGTCAATATCGACGTTGAAGAGAATAGGGGACAGTGGACATTCTTGTCTTACACCGCTAGAGATATTGAAAGGCGGCGGCAACTTGCCTTAAGCCCTTACTCTTCCTGAGCTGCGCGCCTAAACCGCTCGCATAATATTTGCAAACTTTTCGGACACACTTATTCTTAGCAGACAATCCCAAAGTGCACTTCGATCCACCAAATCGAAGGCACCTTCGATTTCAGGGAACACGACAACAGTGGGCCGCTACTATATATGACGGCGCTCTAACAACTGCCACAAGGTGAGTATGTGGTCAATGCATCTCTACCTCGACGAAACCCGGCTTGCTACTCACGAATCTGGCTTTCCCGAGCACCAACCACTCTGTTAGGGATTACAGAGGCAGATACTTTAGAGGAGATGTGGATCAGACTGGTTTATGGTTACGGCATTCCGAAATTGTTTGAGGAAAGATTCATAGTTTAGCTGAATACACTTGCTGACATGACAAGGAGCCAACCTCAATGGCATTCGTGCTGTGAGTTTCTTTGTCCCACTCCCTCCCTCTTAGCCTCCTCTTCCAACCACGTTCTTACTTTTTAACTTAATATAATTTTGCATAAAACCTTTTTTTGCTGCATAGTAATCGGCTGATAGCTTTCCGGAACAATGCCCATCCGTTACCGGTAGCTCCGTTGACATGCATCTGTTGCACTTTTTGCTTTCTTTCAGGTATTGCGACACAGTAGCTGAGGTGTTTCCCACCTCTAGCTATCGTGTATAATGATGAATGACCGCATTCTGAACTCGAGCTGTTTGAAGATCAGAACAATTGCGGAGTGGCTCCAGCCTTTTGGAACAGTTTCATGCTCCCACAATTTTACTAGCAATTCACGTAAATCATCAACAAGAGCAGGGCCCCGAATTTGAAGAGGACTGAATGAAAACCATCTAGTCCCGCGGCTTCATTCCATTTCAACAGTCTGATCTCACGTTCGACTTCTGAGCGAGAGGACGAATCCAAACGGACAGCTCAGAGTGCAGGGCGATCAGTGGCCGATGAGGAATCTGACAATTCCGGCCGATTAAATTGCCTTTTAGAATACTCAGCTCAACGCTCTATCTGTCTTGACAACTTGTGGATAGACTGTCCGCTCTCGTCATAAATAGTTTCACTAACACCTGGTCTCCTGCTGCCCGTTTACCGTATCAGACGGCATAACTTCCGATCATTACCAAGGTCATCGACCACTTCCCTCTCTGACGCACAACGAGACCACCAGTATTCGCGGTCTGTCTTCTGGGTAGCACGGAGTCTTGCCCTGATGTTTTTACGGATTTCGTTGTGTTCTCTTCCAGCCGGAATGTGACGGCGAACATCGTTAAGCTCCAGAGACTGCGAAGTGACCCAATGTCTATTTTGCTTTCTGGATTTACCACACGATAATTTACCTGCTTCCAGTAAGGTCTGGTGGACATGCGATCAGGGACCTTCAACTATATTCAATGTGCGCTTGCTCAACCCGAACGTCAATGTACTTCGATGCGCATTCAGAACATCTGGCTTCGCCAGTTGACCGATATCTTTACGCTCCCAGGGTAGTCGAGGCCTACCGCCAAAACGCATCCGCAGGTCAGCACATACAGGCGCATAATCAGTGTCTGCACATGTGCTCCAAATCGAACGACAGTTCTGGACACAGGCTCTCCTCTGATAACTGATCGCGATGTGGTCGATTTGCATACATAGTTGGTTCGGGGCTTCCGACGGGTGCTGTATGGGAGGTTAGTGCTCGCAAGAACTAAGCGCGCATTTTCACACAAATGAAGCAACCGCTCACCGTTATCATTGCGGTT